GAGAGAGAGAGAGAGAGAGAGAGAGAGAGAGAGAGAGAGAGAGAGAGAGTTGAGGTTGATGGATGCGGTCTTGCTGTTTCTTTGTCTCTTCCCCCTCTGCCCCTGTGTATATACATTTTGATTGCGACTCAGGGCGGCTTGCCCGTTCTTATTTCCGTTTCGGCCTTTCTGGAATCTGAACTCGAATTTTGCTCACTGTCTCAGTGGCCCTATGTATATGATTGCTGAATGTATGGATGTCTTGCTTGCGAATCTCTGTCTTGCTTTTGGTGTCGAACTTTTGTCTGCATCAGATATAGATGGATAGGAATTAGGCTCTGATCGTGATTTTAGTCTCGTTTTTGCTTACCTCACGATGAGGTTGTGATATGGTTGCATCYTGCATGATCAGTGACTCAAAATCTGGCCCCGTAAACGCCACGCGAGAACACGTGTAAACGCGATCCAAGTCGCGCCCTTACACGCATTCCCGTGCGGCGATTCTCCCGCCCAGACGGGATTCGCGGTGACGAGATCCCGCCCCGCGCCATCCCACCTTCGATGACACCATGACGCAATCTTAGGGCTCAGACTCATCCTATGACCCGGACTATTTCACCCCTATAATAAACGAGCTCATAAGGACACSATACCGCTGTCACACGGAGAATCGATTATGTCCGCGGGAATTCCACTGTGCCACCTCTAGCGACCCGCGATGCTCTGATTTCCCTTCCCCCGACCTTACCTACTACTTCACCCATTCGAGATTTTTTGAGATCACCACCAGTTTCCCTCCTTTCCGCCTTCTTCTTCCATACCATCAACTCAGTGTCGTTCCGTGGCCGGCCATAGCCTCCTATTGGCCCAGTACGTTTTGCGCAAATTGCCACCGTAGCAGCGAACAGAGAACTCCGGAACTCCGAAGGCCCCATCCAAATACGCGGAGGCCCGCGCCTCGTGGCGGACCCCGACGGCCTAACTTTTTATGACCGCCTCCGCCGCGGAGGAACTTTCCTGTCAACCGCCACCCTCACTGCCCAGGCCCCATCGGACCGTAAGCTCCTTGCGCACGCATCCCTCGTCCGCCTAATTACATTCATATCCTTAAGACTCCCCCACTTTCCCCAAAAATCCTTAGCACACCCCTTTTCACACTTCCAGGCCCACACTCCACTCCGATCAGGAAGTCGCGCCGGGCGTGAGGTTGGTATCGGAGCCCGACACGTGGCTAGGGTCTTAGGATTGATAATTGGCGATCTGGCTAACCGTGGGCGACCTCGCCCTCGGAATGCGTATAGACGCGACCCTATCGTCACCCGAAGCAGATCGGCTAACCGACGAGCAACCAATATGGCTGCCAATGTGCCAAACCCGGTCCCACAACAGAATGCTAATCCCTTAAATCAACCCGCCCCACGTGCACGAGCTCCCATGACGCCACCAGATCTTTATCTCTTTGATCCCGCACACCATATCGCAGGAGCATGGCTGGCCACACTTAGAGCCCAACAGTATACTGACCATGAAGCTCAGATCAATATTCCCGCCCGATTGGGGGGAGACACTCATCATTGGTTTAGCACCTATGTGTGGGTTGATCTCCCGACCTTTGAGCGGGATTTCATGAATCGATTTGACTATGCTCACCCCGAGCAAGCACTGCATATGATCAAGGACCGAGTGCAAAAACCTCTCGAATCCGTCACAGAATATCGGAACTGGTTCTACCTAATGTTCGTAAAAACTGAGCGAGGTGAACAAGTAGGAAGAGACCTGTTCATTGATGGGTTTCGCAACCGAACAATAAGGACTAAGTTACGAAAGCAATTTTCCCCCATCACTCACACGCTACAACAAATCATGGCGGCCGCGGAAGAAATGGAATGGAAGTTCGCAGCGAACTTCCTGGAAGGGGAAGACTATCCTAGAGAAGGAGATTCCACCAAACTCGCACGAGCGAGAGCTGAGTTAGCTGCTCTGCAGAACAAGTTTGAAAACATGGGGTTTGTATCAGGACCTGTTACCTATATGGAACAGATAGGCCCCAAGCGAGTGACCCTAAGCGAAGTCCCAAGCACATCCGCTCCTGTAATGCCTCCACCCGCAAGGGCATTACCCTTGCCGTTAGTTGAGGCTCCCGCACGAACGAACGAATCAGCGGCCATTTTCGAACTAACCAAAACCTTGATTAGTTTGATTCAGGAAAGTAAGAAGGAGCAACAGGAGCACAATACTCGGCTGGAAGCCATGATGAGGAACATGCGGCCCATTGCGGTACGTGCTCCTCCGATACAACAAGAGGTAACCCCCGCACCTGCACTCGGAGGAGCCGCCAATAATCTAAATATGACCGCCATTAGCCAGGGCATTTGGCCCGAGACTGCCCTCACCGACCCCAACAATAGCGGATCGGAGTCGCGCCTATGGCTGCGGCTCCCATCGCCAACGGACCTGGACGAGTCGGAGCTTTGATGGAAGAAGTAGAGGGTGGAGGAAGTGCCCTGGCCACCACGGAAGAAGCCGCCGAGCTAATCCCGCTAGATCAGTACGTATCGCTCGGATATCCGGGACTGGGAATGATCGGAACAATAAGACCAGCGCCAGAACCAAAAGAGGTGGCGGAGTGGCGACCGTCCCTAGGAGAAATGGAGTCGGGGGGACCCACCTTCGTCACAGGGGAAATCGATGTATTAAACATCATCAGAGCCTTGGATCATCGGATTCCCCTTTCGATTGGTCACCTACTCTCAATCTTCGATCAAGCCAATGAGCGAATGCTACAACATTGCAAGGCAAACAGAAACAATTCGCCCTTGCCCGAACACCGAATGCAAAAGCTAAAAGCCCCGCGCCAGAAGAAAACCCAACAGGCACCCCGGATTCAATACGGGTAAGTTTAATTCAGAAAGACGATCATTTCTTGTGGATTAAACCAATTCCGTGGAAATCCGCAGAATGTGACATAAAAATTTGGAAAATTCCTTACAACGCAATTATAGATTCGGGAGCAGCTGTGTTGGCTATTTTACTAAGAGTGGTCGAAAGGGCAGGAAGGAAAAACGATCTGATCATGCTTTATGAGAAAGATCAGCTCGTTTCGGTGGACGAAGAAAAGATTAAAACCGTGGGAAGAATGACCAATGTCGCTTTCCGATTGGGCAAAGTGCACGCGCTTGGGGATGTCGTAGTCCAAGATGTTAATACGTACGACGTTCTTTTCGGAATTCCCACTCTTGTGGCGTTACGAGCGAACCTGGATTTCGAGAGACGTTCGATCATTCTCTGAAATACAGGCGGAAAACCCTACGCTGTGCCCATGCGATTGACCCTTCGCACTACTGTTAACACGGTTCCGCGGGTTTCGCCGATGATGGCAGGGACTCTCCGCATGATCTCCTGGGATGAATCCGCAGACGAAAGGTCATCAACGAATGATGCGGACAGCAGTGACAAAGATGATCCGGAGATCCTGAAATTAGCGCGACAGCGCGTTTACTACCCGCCGCCCAAAACGATAGCAAGAACAATGCAGCTGACCAGCCGAAACATTCAAAAAACCAAGGCAATGATCTTGGGTGAGCCCCTCGTGCAAATTTCGAGGATGGTCGATTCTTTGGAACCCCCTCAAACCCTGTACGAAGGAACCACCCCCCTCCTCGCCCGGTACATCGACAAGAAGCATTACTGTGATATTACGGATCTACCCAAGTCCTTACTAACCTCGACCAAAGAAGTGAGATTGTTACGCTTGGAGGCGGAAGCAAGCTCTCTGGAACCCCCTGGGCGTTTTGAAGCAGAAACAGACGGACTGGGGATAAAGATCGCAACTAAAGAAGTGCCATGGCATGATGTTTTTGATGGGATTACCCCGGAAGAACACGTGGCAATCCGAGAAGAAGATGCTCAGATGATGGCCACGGTTTTCTCCTGGCGATCGGATCATTCATTCATCTCGGCGCCTCCACCTGATTTGACAAAACAGGCGAATACGAAACAGATTGACGTTCGGATCTGGGATCAGCTTTATGAATTGCACGTTCCGCAATATGTACCGGATGCAATCCACCGGGTAATTGCGGATATTCTCACGGAATATCAAGGAGCGATTAGTGTGTCAGACACTGACATTGGGCTGTCATTAGTAATCCAACACGAAATTCAGACAGGAAATCACACCCCGATTCATTGCAAACCTTATCGCTATTCCTTGATTGAACGCAAAAAGGCTCTCGAACGAATTCGAGAGTTCGAAGCCTGCGGTTGGATTGAACCTGCTACCGGACCATGGTCCTTTCCCGTAGTGTTAGTACCAAAGAAGAACGGAGCGATTCGCATCTGCATTGATTACCTCAAGCTGAATGAAATCACGATTAAAGATGTGTATCCCCTCCCCCGGATTGATGATCTGTTGGATGCGATCGGATGCGCTGAATATTTTAGCAAGTTTGATATTCGGCATGGCTTCCATCATATTCTGGTAAGGAAAGAAGATCGGCCGAAAATGGCCTTTGTGCTGTTTGAGGGTACGTGGCAGTGGGTTCGATGTCCGATGGGGATTTGCAATGCGCCTGCCACATTTCAGCGAGCGATGAACATGACGTTCCAGAACTTCGTCAACAAGACACGGCTGGCGCAAGGAATGATTAACTTCTGCGTGATCGTTTACAGGGATGACATTCTGGTCTATTCGGAAACCTATCACGGACACCCGCAACACATCGAATGGACATTGGGTGCATTAAGAGACGCTGGGTTCAAAATTGCGCTTGAGAAGAGCGAATTTTTCCTCTCGGAAATTTCGTTCTTGGGTTACGTCATGAGTCGTGACACGTGGAGGATTGCGGCCAGATTCGAGAAAAGTCGCGGCGGTGAAGGAATCCCCGGTTCCCATGTCACTGACGCAGGTTCGAGCCTTCTTGGGGCTGGCGTCATACTATCGGCGCTTCATCAAGGGCTTTGCTGTGATTGCACGAACGCTAACGAATCTGTTACGGAAGGACCAGCCACTCAATCGGGACGCGGAGTGCCAGCAGACCTTTGCGACCCTCAAAGACACTCTGGGAGCAGCCCTTATTTTAATTCGACCGGACCCCGCGAAGCAATTCATTCTCATCACGGACTGGCAATCGGAAGCTATTTCCGCTATTTTAGCACAGAAAGGGAACGATGGGCTCGAACACGTCATCGAGTACGCGTCTCGAACCGTGCCAGACGAACGTAGAAACGACTCCGCACTTCAAGGCGAGTGTTATGCGGTAGTTTGGGGAATCCATCACTTCCATCCGTATCTCTACGGACAAAAGTTTCGCCTCGTAACGGATCACGAGCCTCTGCTGGCACTGAAGAAACTCACCAACTACACGGGCATGATTGGCCATTGGGCGGTGCGACTGCAAGAATACGACTTCGATATCGTCCATCGAAAGACAGAGCGACACGGTAACGCGGACGGGTTGACACGTTTGCATCGACCTGCCAAGGTACCAAAGGACGAGGAAATTACACCGTGGAAAGAGCCAGACCTGACTAACGAGCCAGGGTACGGACAAGTGGCAGTTCTCCCACGTGGCAAGAAGTAAAACGGTGGCGATGGGTGACGGAGGTAACCCCACTACCCCCCTCTCTCCTCCTTCCTCTTCGTCTCTCCTCTCCCTGCCTGACAAATTTTGCTATTTTTGTGAAGCCATCTCCCMCGTCTATTCGGTTTCCATGTGTCCTAATGGGGAGGGGTATGYCGATTGGATCGATTGCCGACAGTGTGTCGCACGAACCCATGGCTCGTGCATCCAATACAGAAACGATAGTAAACCGTGGTTGTGCCCCTTGTGCCGGACCGATAAGATTCCGACCGAGGCTCGCTTTTTGGATGCCACGTCAGAAGGATTGGAAAAAAAACGGAAGTTTAGAAGGGCCGAAGTATGGATGGACATTGCCTTAATCGCCACCCTAGTAGGTAACCCCCTCCAGGATTTCACCAAGGAAGATCGGAGGAGGGCCAACGAGAGGGCTCGGGATTATCGATGGATAGAGGGTAGATTAGAAAAATGGAAAACGGACGGCAACGAAATTTGGATGGTGGTGCCGCATCCGTTCATGAGGTACGACTGGGTTAAGATGGCGCACGGAGAAATTGCGGCTCATTTCGCCGTACGAATCACGGAGTCCGCTATCGACAAAAATAAGTGGTGCTGGTCCAATATCCGCGACGATGTGAAATACATCGTCGCCAACTGCCAAGTCTACGCCGCTGATAAGGCACCGATTCAGCCGCCAAGATCGATAGTGCCCACGGTTGTTGAACGGCCATTTCAAAGAGTAAGCATGGACACTACCGACGTAGTGGTGCCCCCTGGCCCTAATAGTTGCGAGTATTCAGTCCTACTGGTATTTGTCGACCATTTTTCGAAATGGATCGAAGCGTATCCCTGTCGCACGCGGCAAGCCACAGAAATCGCGCGATACGTCAACCGTTTCCTCGGGATGCATAAGGAAACTGAAGAAATCCTGACCGACAATGGGGCTGAATTCAGAGGAGAAGTGTTAAAGAATCTGGTTATACATGGCGTCGCCATATGGAACGCTGCACCCCACATGTCACAATCCAATGGGCTGGTCGAAAACGCTAACCGGATGATAAAGACAACATTGGGACGAAACATCGCGGTACGGGATCCGAGACCCTGGCCCGATATCGTCGATCACATTCTGGCGGTCCATCGCGGAACGCCCGACGAATCGACGGGGCTAAGCCCCTTTCAATTAAGAACCAATAGTGTTGCTTGCGTTTCGATACCAAGCCTCCCAGATGAGTCTACATTGAACCGACGGCCCACCAGGGCCACGGCACGGGACAAGGCCAAACGACACCTAGAGCTAATGGAACGGTCCCTGCCCAAGCTGGCCCGAAAACGACAGAAAATGACCGAACTAGCCCAAGGCCTACACATCCGGAGCTACGAGGCCCGAAATGGGAATGCGGGTCCGTAGCCCCAGTATAAATTTGGGGACGTGGTGCAGGTAAGGAAAGGTGCTCGCCAAGGGAAGCTAGCGTCACGATTCTTTCGGGCGATATCGCATGATCGAGCTCGGCCCCAACGACGTGAACACCGTGCGTCTCGCTCCGGAAGTCTCCGGCAGTCGATCAGCTCGTTCGATCACATGCCACGTGTCCTATTTTCGCCTCCTCCCCTCTGCTCCGTCTCCTTCTCCCTCGATTTCTCCCTCTGAAGAAGCCGAAAATGACGACAATCTCTCTCCTATCTCTCCGTCTTCCTCCTGTTCTCCCTCTCTCACCCCGACACCATCGCCATGAGCTTTGCGACAGAACAAGTGATCGGCGCGCGGCTTCTTACTCCGAGGGGGCAAATCAGTGTTATACGACAGGTGCAGCGGCCCCACCTCTGCCCTGATCTACTCCGGTTTGCGGCTTTCTTCAGTACGTCGGCGATCTACGCGGCTATAGAGTTTCAATTCGCGGAGGAAGCAACTACGCGCGTGCTGGCTGAGATCTCGGCCTTTCGACGGCTATCCCCTCCCGGGATTAGCCATATCACTGTCATTGTCGTTTTTACGGGGGATATCACAGCAATCCCGTCGGCGAATCACTCTGACATCTATCGAACGTTGCGCATTTGGGTTGGGGAAGTAAGGACGGCGTGGACAGATCTTCTGGCTCAACGAGGAGATACCATTGTACCGGCGCATGACACGGACCTCCAGCTCCGCTCGTTTCGAAGATCGCCCGCGATCGTGCTTCCGGAGCTTCATCCTTTCGAGCCGCCCCAATCAGTCTTCGTCGAGTCTCCTATTTCGGCCTCCCCTCCAGCATCCCCACCCTTTGGCAGTCTGCGCGGGCTCCCACCGTCTCCCACCGAGTTAAGGAGAACAGTGCACCGCTACTGAATGAGGGGAAGTGGGACGCGTGGTGGGAGAACTATATCGAGCTCGCTTTCTGCCTATTGGAGATAGAGTTCCGCAGGTCAGAGGCGGCCCCATTCGGAGAAGGGCCGGAGCACCCAGAAGACAGCGTGGAGTTTCTGATCATCCAAGCCTGGAGGACAGCAGAGCATGGCGACCTGCTGGGATTCCTGTTCGGGAAGGTGGAGGACGGCAATCTCACCTTGATCACGGACGAATTGCTGGTGTTTTTGGCACAGCTGGCGGACGATCTGCCCCTGGATATCTTGTGGCGTAGTGACAATCAGCCTGGCACCCAAGTGCTGTCTCGAACGCTCGAGCCGCACTTCATGTGGTCCTCGTGCACAGAAATCGACGCGGATAATTGTCTCTATCCCTCCCAGGCGCTCTATTTGGAGATCAAAGTTACCGATCTCACGTTTTGGGACCCGATCGCGAGGCAAAACGTGGCACAGGACGAGGAGATAAGAGGAGCCGACGAAGAAGAGGAAGAAAAAGTGCCATCGAGTGAGGAAAGGGATGATCCGGACTACGTACCCAAAAGAGAGGCAAGGATAGTTGACGAATCAAACCAGCCACAGGCGCAGGACGAGGGGGTGGAACCAGAAGAAGAAGAAGAAGGAAGCAGGCTATCAGGATCGGAGTGCGAAGGATTGGAGGCTGAAGTGCACGACGCGGCGCGAGAGCGAGCACTAGAGCGGAGGAAGCGAAAGCGCCAGGAAACCGCGGTTGGAAAGCGACTCGCAACAACGTATCCTCTGTCGATCCGTCGATCGCCGACCCGTGGCGTGATCCAGAGCCGCCAGAAGAGGAAGGCGATGGAACCACAGCAGAGGGATCACAAAGCAGAAGAAGAAGAAGTGAATCGCCAGCTCCCTCCGGCTCCCCGTCCCGATCCTCCCTTCGTCTATATCAAGATCTCGGCGTTCGGGCTTCGTGCCCGGTCGTTCTCTCGCCGACCCCGTGACTACCTCATGCTCACCCGCCTCCCCCTTAGACCCCCGTTCCCTGTGGGATGGTGCCCGTTCCCCCATCATCTTTTTGACCATCTCTATGCCACCCGCCTTCTAATCTCCGTCTATCCACACGTCACTACTCGCTCTGTGGTTGATTCCTTTCTCCTTCATGTACTTCTGTTTAGCGCAGACTGGCGGGAATATAACCATGTAGAAGTATATTGTACTGCGAAAATTATGAAGATTTTTGCGCCGCCCTACGACGGACCCTCTCCACCATCTACCCCGACTACATTGCCGCTTTTCGTCATCTTCATGACGTCCCTCGTTTCCCCCGCATCCATCGCTCCTTCCACTACGCTACCCTTCCTAATTTCCCCTCTCCCGCAATCAACCGCTTCATGCCCCCTCTCCCCCTGAACCATCCGCCACCTCCACCCTCGATGATTCGACTGCCATTCCCCGGGAACGTCTAAGGTCTAGGATCTACCCCCCCC